GTGACACCTCAGGGAATTGCAAATTAGACAGATTAAAGGCTGTTGGATGGCAAGTGGAGGGAGGAGGCTTTCTAGGGTATTGTCACTCACTCTGAAAAAAAAAGTGAAGAGAGTGGAAAGTAACTTTTTCATTCTAAGAGGATAAAATGCCTTCAGAAGCTCATCAAGGAATTTCCCACTGAGTTTCTAAATTGCAGTATTTGTTTTCCGGTAGGCCTGCTGGTGGCCCAGCCTATCTAGAGGTTTCCCTGTAAAAGCTTGTTGCTCTTCTCACTTTTGCTTAGGAAGTTGATAAGTAAAATGTATGTTGAGTGAATTTGAAAAAATGTCCGTATAAGATAAATTGTATTTTGTCCATACAGTAGAACCCTCCTCAGGCATGTTTTTAAAGACAAGAATGAAATTTCACATTGGAAGCTCTGCTCTTTGAAGTGCAGAGCAATAAACTGTAATTATTTTAATGACCAGTGTTGACAAGAATTATGGTACTAAGATGTAAAAACAATAAAGTATGTCAGAATTGGAAAGTTGGAACTGTATTCCCAGGATCCAGACTATTCTGGTTTTGTATTAGAGATTAATGATTAAAAACTAATTCATTAGATATTAATGATTAAAAGCAAGCACATCTTGGTAGCAATGAAATGGAAGATTAAATGATGATGTGACGTGACATGATATGATATGATATATGACATGATATATCAAAGCAAACGAATACAGTTTGAATTGCTTTGCTTACACAAATAGTATAAGATGACATTCACATTTCAAGGCAAAGAATCTATGTTCTGGAATTTAACAGGAAAAAAAGGAAAGGAACAAAATAAAGTCTCTACTAAAGGTAACTCCCAGTAGTTTGTTGCAAAGAGGCTTTCAGGTAATTCCCTTCAGCCTTGACCCTAGCAATAAAATAGCACTGACCTGCTGGGAAACACTGCAGAAACTCAAAATAGGTGGTGGGACTGCACTGCACTTCCGTCCAGCATGTTATACATGAACCTCTTCAGTCTGCAGCAGGAAATAATGCAGTCCTCCTAAGGCACTGCAGCCAACAGTACCACACAGCTGGGGCCAGATTTCAAAGATCTAAACGAGGAACCAGTTATGACTGAAGAAATCCTGACTGTCATTCTCAAATCACTTTAAAACATTCGCACTTCCAAATAACACAACCCAAAAGGACTTGGTTTGTAGTTAAAAACTGTCATAAAAAAGATTGAGTGTGGCACAAGTACCACTGCAAGCTAGTAATTACTCAGACTTGTGAATTCTAGGGGGTTAATTATTACTAGAGGGTGTTCAAAGCCAAAGATGGAGACACAATTGGTCATAACAGATATAAGAAAACAGTGGACAAGGGAATTATTTCTGACACAGTTCATTTGTGATCTGGGGGAAGAGCACAACCAGCTTCACATTTCTCAAATTAATGTCCTAAACATTTTTTTTTTTTTTTTTTTTTTGCTGGAAGGCCACAGGGAGAAGTGAAGTGCAGCTCTGCCAGAAAGCAGTCACTGCAGCAGATTGCTTCATGCCTTCTCTTTTTGCAATGACAAATCTAATGAGGAGTGTTTAGCATAAAGAGGGCCAAATTCCTCCTGATGGAGGCAGAGAGGCTCCATTTATTATCCCTTAATCTTGCAGCAGGGGCAGCTGAGGGAACAGAAGAAAATTAGAGGTCCTTAGACTCTTGCTGCCCTTACGTTGCCTTAACGTCCCTTTAAACAGGGAGCCAAAGACTTCCTTGGCATAGGTTCAGTAAGTGTTTCGAGTTATTTCAAGGACGGACTTGGCTTGGATTTTCATTTGTGAGTTGCAGTGAAAGGTTGTTTTTTTTCTTCTTTTTTAATATACTTCATCCATTTCCACATCTTTGATGCTTTCCAGAGCAGCTCTTTTTCTCATTGTCATCTTCAATAAGGATTTCCTAGGACTGTGTGACTCTTTCCTGAATGCCTACAGCAGGTTTCTGCTAGTGCTGATCCTGGCTGTCACTTGCAAAAATTTTATTCCATTTTCCAAACTTAAAATTGGATATTGTATTGAAAATGAATGGTTGTCAATCTGGACATAAAAATTAAAACTCATTTATATTCCTGGTAGTTGTCTGAAAAGATCACTGGACATTTCTTCTAGGGTGTGTACATGTCCCCACCAGCAATTTCATGACAGAGCAGAGTGACTTCATACCCACATTAGGTAGCTAAATCGGCTACCTAAAAAAGCTAGTGTGATAATTATGGTGCAGACTGAGAACTAAACCCTAACTTCAGATGAAATTGCTTCAATTACAAATCAACACCAAACGATAGCAGATGTTAGCATTGCCCAGGTGACTGATAAGATTATTAAAATATCTTTTCATTTTTCCAGAAATTAAACTAAAGCAATTTAAACTTGTCCAAGCTTGGCTAGCTCTTGCCTGCAGTCATACTTGCAGTTTATGCTGGAGCAGCTTGGTGTGAGCTTTCTTCCACTTTCCATATGGGGATTCATTACCTTATGCCTGTGAGGTGAGAGGGTAGACAAAGTATCTATCTAGCTCCTCTGGGAAAGCAGACTTTGTTCCTTGCCCCTCTCTACCTGGAGACAGCAGAGCAGGGAAAGCATTGGCATTGTCTTTGGGAGCTCTGCCCTCCTTTATTGCTGCTGTGTAGAGGAATTAATAGTTTGAGCCCTGTCTTATCCTTGAACATGTATATTAGGTCAATGCAGCTAGGCAGCTTCTTAGCGTTGCTATCTGACCCCAGCGGTGTCAGCTGGGAACAAAACATATTTCTGATATGAGAGGGATAACTTTGCTCATAACTACCACTATCAGAAATATATTATACCTATTTTTGGCTTCAACTAGGCTTGAACCTTATAAAGAGAAGTTCAATGCTTGAGCTTGGGCATAACTGCACTTCCGCTCTTGATTGGCAGGAGAAACCTATTGGAGATTATTATCTCTGCTGCTTGTTCAGCTAATTTGTTTGTCACTTGTCATTAGCTTGTAATGGGTTTTACTGCTAGTGTTGTTTTAAGGCTTAGGATAAGAAACACATATATTTTTGCTGGTTAGGACCAGCTCATCATTTCTAGCTCTTACTGAAGGAGATACTTGTTACCAGTGAAGAAATCTGCAAGTCTCATCATAATTACAGTAAATAACCTGCTCTGCAGTCTATAAACTAAAACAGCATTTTTAATTTTCAGATTAAAAATGTAGCAGAAAAGCTTATGGCTGAGAATGAAAATGGGACAGATGTAGAAAACATGCCTGAAATTAAGACACACTATCTTGTCACTTATGGTCTGCTCTGGTTTAAAATGTCTTATTTCAAATCTATTCCTGCTTTTTTCCATGTCCTGTCCAATCAGAACAAGAGAAAAGCTGAAATGGTTTTAAATGTTAAGTCCATGATCTTCAATGCTGGCTCTGTTGCTAGAAGTTAAATTCTTACCCAATCCATTAAAGGGCACTTATTTCCCATGTCATATCTAGTTTTGATCATAGCAAAAAAATGAGAAACAATAAAAACAGACATAATATGAAACAGATTTTTTGCTTTCTGCTTAATTTTTTTTCATTGTTTTTTCACTTTTGAAAATGTCTGTGTAAGATTGATGCTCTGCAAGAAAAAGACCTTATATTTTTCTCAGTTCCTGTTGGAAAATCTTGCTTTTAAAACAAGATGCTATTCAAATAGTAGTGTGCTGTAAGAGTGCTGATGCTGACTGGGTGGCTAAAGTTCCCCATGGCTGGTGACATTTCAGAGTGAGACTTATAAAGCTTGTGAGCAGATCCATCTCTAAACAGACTGGATAAGTCTATCCTAGAAAAGCTCCTTCCCCGATTCAATGCATCTCACTCAGAGCATATGTTGACTGATTCTAGGGCTTAAGTCAACCCATCCAGGTGAAAATTCATCCATCTCAAAAAAAAAAACAAAACCCAAAAAACAAAGAGGCAGTTGTCAGAGATTTGTAACTGATTTGAAGAGTGATGTTAACCTGTCTCCTAATAACTAAAACAGGAGGCTTGAAGCCAAACTGATATGCCTGATTAAAAATCTGCTCAAGTGGGCTCCATAAGTGGAGAAAAAGGGTTAAGAGATCCAGGGACTGAGGTTTCTATTCTACACCATTTTCCTTTAGTTCAGCATCAGATAAGGTCAAGACTACTGCTTTACACAGTTTCACACTGCATTAACAACATTTTGCTTCCAGGCTTAGCAAGGCCTTACTTACAGTAAGTTTCACCAAGCAGAATCAGGCTTTATTCAATTAATTTGTTTTGATGGAGCACCACATTGTGATGACATGCAGTAAATACTAAATTAGATCTTTAGTACATAAATCACATAACTGCCTATTTACAAGTGTCCCTCACAGCAAGAGTTCACAGTCTGCACTGTAATTGTGCAGCCCAACAAAGCAATGCAATCCCAGGCTACCAGATTGCATGCACGTTATGTGCAATCTCCCAAGAACTGGCCCTATGAGAAGGGAAGAGGAATTTAAGATGTTTTAAAGTTTGAAGTCAGTGATCAAAATTTATTGCTCCTCTGTGCATTCTTTAGGCCATGACTCCCTTGAATTACTCTGTAAAGGTAAATGAGCCTAGAAAAGAGGGAAAACATTTGAAAAGGCCTTGAAAGATGTATGTGATTTTTGCTGGGTTTTTGAGCCTTCGGAGATGTCATTTCCCAAACTATAGGGTGAAAGTTCAAGAAAATCTTTGCTAGTAAGAAGAAAAAGTAAAAAAAAGTCAAACCTTGAAAATCTAAACAATACACAGCAGGGGGAAAAGAAGGAAGAGGTAGTGGCAAAGGTTGAGGGTTCGGAGCACTTACACCTCTATGCGCAAAACTTTTCTGAAAGCTGCTGACAGAGCTTTGGCATCTGATCATCCCCTGACTGCTGATTAACATAGCAGTGTTTTATATTTAACTCAGGCCAGAGCAGGAGGGGCTGGGGGTGGGGTTGCACTGCTTATAAGGGGAGCACGGCAGGAACAATGTTCTTCTGTGTCAGTTCCCTCCATCTCCCAGCCCAGCTGCACTCCTTTTGATCATTCACATTTCCTCCAAATGCATGTTGTCATTAATTAATCGAGTGTCTCATGGAAAGCGAGGTGGGGGAGATGGGCAGACAACAGCTATAGCTACACCATTAAAATACAAACCAAGTCTGCTGAGTTTACTGAATGCGAGTGCTGAAGTGACTAATAAGCTTTTTTACAGTTAATGTTTTCCTCTGAGGACAGACCCAGGACCAGAGATGGAGGGCATGCATTTTGAGGATGAGAAGACCAAGAGGTACTGCATGAAGACAAAGCATGTGGCTATCATCTGTGGCGTCGTGGTCATTGTAGGTCTTGCCGTGGGGCTTGGCGTGGGATTGAGCAGACCTAAATCTCAACAACATTCAGGGGAAACAGATCAGCCAACAAACCCTCCTCCCTCAGCGGACTTGAGTCCCTGTCCTTCTAGAAATGATGAGACTGGTGACTGGACCAATTTTAGACTGCCCACTTATGTCAAGCCTATCCACTATGATCTGGAAATGAAGCCTGAAATGGAGACAGACACTTACACTGGGACAGTCAGTATTTCCATTGCTTTGGAAAAATCTACCAGCTACCTGTGGCTCCACCTGCGAGAGACCAAGATTACAGAAATGCCAACACTCCAGAAATCTTCAGGACAGCAAATTGCTGTGAATGACTGCTTTGGTTACGAGCCACAAGAATACATAGTGATGAAGGCAGAAACAGAGCTCTCTGTCACTGATGAAAGTGATCCCTATATACTCACCCTGAAGTTTCAAGGCTGGCTGAATGGTTCCCTGGTTGGGTTTTATAGGACCACCTACACTGAGAACGGACTTATCAAGTAAAGCAGTTTTTCTTTTATTTATTACACTTTCTTCCCTACTTCTTCAGGCGTGCTCTATTCCTATTTCAGCTTCTCAGTCTTGTCTCTCACCAATTTGCTGACATTTCTGGGCTGTTCTTTAGTTTTCTCATTCCCCAAAGGAAAATGCTGTATTCAAAACCCTTTGGCTGCTGACAAGTGAGTGTGGGCTGGAGAGATGAGGGGTTTGTTATTATTATTCTGAAAAACTTTTTCAAACTCTACTGGTCCCAGGTTACCTTTGAGCTTTACAAATGGTTCTGTCAAGGAGCTGGAGGGATTGAGGCCTGTTTTTATAAAGAGCATACAGCTCTCTCCTGTCACTCCCCAACATAACAGGTTTAGTGCAAAATGTTCTTGTGATAGTTTTCCTGACATCATGCCTCCTTAATGTTGTAAGCCTGAGGAATATCCAGACTTCCCTGTCCCCTCTTCAGCTGCTTTAAATTATGGGTAGGAAAGTCCAAATGATTAAGGTTATCTTTGACTTGGATTTTTTTTTTTGTTCTCCATCTCTTCCTTTTTAATGTATCAATAGTTATTGAAAGATTACAAAGCCTCTGCCAGTCCATTTAACCCCTTCCACTTCCTAGGTTTGCACTATTTTCAGGTGGAAGTTTGAAAAAGCCACTGCCTACTGCTCAGAGACATTTCTTTGCAGTTAACATATGGAGAGAACACTCATTTTTTTCAATATTTACATTTCTGAAGTGACTCATTCCAGCCTTTATGTCTAGAAGGTAAACTTGGATAGAGTTTTCCAAGTCCCTGTAGCAGAACATGGAGACAAACACTGGTGTGTTTTCACTTGTTTGCTCCCCTGGGATAATGTTGTCATGAGTGAGAGTCTCATCAGCTCCAATTCAGCTGCTGGCAGGCAATGCCAGGAGTAGCAGCAGTGACAGGCACCAGGAGCAGAAAATCCAAGAAGCAGAGGAAAAAAGAAAACATTAATTGCTCATACTTACTTAAACGTATTTATCTGATCTGGGAAGAAGCCATGTAAAGAACAGCTTGGACCTCAAAAAGCTCTTTCCCTATTGTTTTTCTCCAAATACCACCTTTGTATTGCTCTGACTCAGAAGGTGCTTTGGTTTTATGGTTTGAGTATCTGACATGCCTGCAGAATTTTAAAGTGTAACCTGTTAGCATCTTTCTAAGTTGAGGTGTGTTACTTCCTTTGTATTAGTGAGGGATACCTAGATATTAAGTGAATTGCTCCAGGTCTGTCACAACACCGGAACAGCAGAGCCAGAATGAAGGTCTCCGGAGTCACATAGCAGAATAGGTGAGTGACCATCTTTCAGATCCAGACAGTATAGGAAGACAACGACCAAGCATCTGATGTTAGGAAGAAAAGAGAACTGCATAAGCTAAAGAAAGCATAAAATGTGAGCTCACTTCAAGAGGGTTCCTACTTCTTGATTTGAATGCTGAAAGCTACAATTGCAAGGGTGATCTTAGCCAGCAGTCTGACACACTCAATACAAAAAGGAACTTGAGTGTGTGTGTGTGTTTGTTTGTTAAGCTTGAGAAGGGCTTTAGTAAGAATGAGTGAATGGTAATTTCTGTAATGCTTTCCATGTGGTTATGTTTGGGCAGAAGCAATGTACATGATAGTAATAAGTACAGCTTTGAAATGAAAGCAACCACCGGCCAAGTTGCTGCTATGCAAATTGGGGTAGGTGATAGGATGGGGTGAAGAAGGATGGCAAGAGAAGGATTTTATTACCTATTGAAACTGCATTTTCCCCTGGCTTTCTGCTTAAAAAACAGTGCTGACTAGAATTATCTTTTTTTACTTCAGCTTTGCCTGAGGCAGACATCAACCCTGGAAAATTTCAACCCAAATAGTTCCCTTTTTGTCATGTTATAAGTAAATACAGATCAAATTGGGTAATAGCAAAAGTCAAGCAAGTCTATTAATAGTGGATGCTAGAGAGAAGGGCGCTGAGGTGAAAATGAGAGCCAACATGTAATTAACTTACTCCCCCTCCCTTCCAGGCAGTGTTAAAAGCAGTGGGACTTTTTGAACAAATTTATAATACTGGAAAGTCAGATCCCAGGGCTGAGCTGCTCCCCAGCTGTCTATCTGTGAAGGTAAAGGTTTGCCAAAGCATTGATATAATGCCTTTTTTTACAAACTGGGCATGTGTCCAGGCTCTGCTTTTGCTGAGATTCAAATGTCCCATCACATGTCACGGAAAACAGGTAGACATGCAATGAACACACCTGCAAGTCTGGTATCCTTGTGAGGCTTAGGGAGAAGAATGCCTCATTTGGGAATCCTGTTCAAACAGATCACACAATCCCCATGAGGACAAAGGTGGTTTTGGACATGCTCAGAAGTGGATTTTGAGATACCTTGGGAACACGATTATTTAAATTGATGTGCACATGTGGGTAGGGATCAGGAAAAGTATAAAATTCGAGAATGCAGATTTTATATTACACCTACTTAGATCCTCCTGTGGGTGCCCAATTCCAGCTGTAAGAACTGAAGTCCTTTTGTAAAGCTGCTACTCTGCGCATATCATCATTTCACCTTTGATGAAAGGGGAACAACAGTTCTTCCCTACTTTGCATGATGCAGTGAGCATAAATATGTTATTCTCAAATATTTTACAGAAAGGAACACAACAGCAGTGCTTACTTGGTGTAATGGGTTCTTTTAACTCTCAAGGAATGTAATAAAACCCCTTTTAATTTTGTTAATATTGCAGATAATACAAAAATGTCACAACAGTTTTTTTTTTTATTTTGCATTACTGTTAATGACAAGGTGTGGCTTCTCTGTTATAGGAATTCCCCCTGTCCTCCATAAGAGGAAAACCAGAGGCTTATAAAATATACTTAGCTGGGCACATGTCTAACAGAGCGACTTGAATTTAGGGTTTGATTGATTAGGGAAAGGCAGAACACTCTTTAGCATACAGAACTAGCACTTCCAGATTTCTTCAAGGAGGAAATTTTCTCAGAAGCAGCAGTGAATCTGAATTTTAGGAAAGACTAGGAGAAAAATGCCTTAATTATCCCAAGGGGAGGAGTCTTTGCACAACCCTTTCTGCTTTGGAAATAATAAAGGAGGGGGGGTGGTGGAAACTCATCATGGTTCTAAATGCAGCACTGTTTTATTTTGGGAACAACAGCTGGATGTAGTCTCAGCCAGATCTTCATTCCTTATTACTATGATATTTACAACTGTCACCTCCAGTTCACATTTAAAGGTCTGGATATCAACAGCAAGTAGAAGGACAAAAGCCACCAAGCAATGAAGAAAATCTTATCCAAAACCTACATTATACAGTGTGAAAGGAAATGGCATTTTATGTTTCTAGTGCCACTTCTATGCATGATGTTGCCTGGACTTATCATCTATCCCGTAGTGCTAAGGTTTTGCACTGCTGATGCACAAATCAGCAAACGTGGAGGCTGTATGCCTCTACAAATATATGAGGATAGATGGATTATCACCTTATAAATCAACAGAGATATCACAGTCTTATCAATCTGAAGGAACAAGATATAAATGTGTCAAAACATAGAGACAATTTTTTAAGCAACAGCTGTGAAGCATTGCCCTGGGGACTTGAAGTTAACTGAATTGTGAAATGGCTTTCAAATCCTGCAGAAAGTAGAGGGTGACATAAAGAAAAAAAAAAATTACCAAGCAAAAAAAGAAACTGTTGAGCCTGAAGTTACGTTAAGGTGAACGTTCATTATGCTTTCTGCCCATGAACCTTTGAGTTACTATTCCTATGAACATGAATAGAAAGAACCCAGACATATTACCTCCATCAGGCTTGTAAATGACCCTTGTTGCTACAAGTTCCTAAAGACCAGTTTAGAATTTAACTGTCACAGGGAAATGCCAAGGGCAACAGAAACATCGAAAAAATTGTTTGTCAAGTGAGCTTGTAGGATTGCTGCAGATCAGTAATTTACGATGTGCACTTTTAATTACTTTTTGGAAAGAAAAACTACCTTAATATTGTTAGAGCAGCTGTAGAAGTGCTGTCAGAAAATGCTCAACATTCCAGATTAATTGAAGAAGCATCTGTGATCCCTTTCACCATCAATCACTGGAAAATACGCTCTGCTACTGTATGTGGGAGCCTGATGTCACCGTGAGAAGTAATCATATTATATGAACGTTCTTAAATTTCACCTTATTTTTTATGTGACCCTTATTGTCTAGCTCCTCCAGTTGCTTTTGAATAGCTGAGACGACATTCTAAACCGCCCCCCCCCCAACGCAGCTAGCATAGCATCAGTTACATACTATGATGTTCAGCTGAAATTAACATGCTTCCTCCAGCAGTTTCATCAATGGAATCAGGGAAGCACCAGCAGAAAACTGTAATTGGTAACTGCAGAAAAAAGAAACACACAAATAGGATGAGATTTTAGGGGCACTTATGCAATTCCAAAGTGTCTTCTCAGGAGATGTTCAGGACTCCAATCTGAACATCTGCTCTAGTGGGTGAAAGACTTAAGTCACATGGAGTGACTAAAGTAAACATCCCTATACCATGACATTAATTTTCTTTCAGATTATAACATCAATAGATTATTTTTAGACACATAAATCAATGGGAAAGCTCATGAGGAAGGTGAGCAAAATTTTTACCATCCGTGAGTGGTCATTCCTAACATTGCCTGGCTCCTAAAAATTTTTTGTGATAAACAACCTAGAGAATGTTGATGACAGACTTTGGGGTATACATGTTACACATGCCTCTACGATGCCAGCTTCTGCATTTCTGATGTTCCCTGCTTTTATGAATGGACAAGTAAACACAAATATTTGTAGTTGACTTTAGTATATGAAATTGCTAAAATTGTGCTTAGAAATTGCAGATAGGATTTAAAAGGTACGTAATGAAGGCTTGCCAATGTGTTGTTTGTTTAAGGAGCATTGCAGCTACAGATCATGAACCAACAGATGCACGGAAATCTTTTCCTTGCTTTGATGAGCCCAACAAAAAGGCGACTTACAACATATCTATCATCCATCAAGACACATACCAAGCACTATCAAACATGCCAGTACAGGTATGTATTTCCCAGCTCTGCTGCCTAAGTGGAATGGTTCTTATTATAAAGGCACTGGAAAGGTAACATGGATTGCAAGGTCCTTGCATATTCACAGATTCTAGTATCCAGACACTGTAAAGTGAATGGTTAATAAATATTCCATAAAACAGGACTGGATGGTTAGTTAGGAATCCCAGTGGTCCACAAGCACACAATATGGCAACACAGAGCCAAATCCAAAGCAGAAATAAAACATCTCTTCTGTCTTCTGCTAGCTGGCCCTCTGTTCAGATATTCTAGATAAGCATCCCTCACTAACTATAAATAGGTAGTGGCAGGTTCTTCAGTCAAACCAGGTGGACTCTGAGAAGAAATGCTCTGGAAGACAGCTGCTTCCCGGATGGGAATTCCAAAATATTCACTGAAACAATATAACAATCCAAAGCGAGGGTCTGCTGATCATAATCTGACGGTAAAGGATCCTTCTAGCAAGAAAGTCCAGGATTATTTTTAATAATACAGAAATTAAAATCCCATCTTTCAGATCATGGGTGTGGACATTTGTCAGTACACCATGAATGTAATTTCCTAACTAATCTATTTCTGGACCTGGTGGTTCAAATTCCAAGTTTTTAATGAAATTCAATGGCATCAATTATTTACCTCTGGGCCTTCTGGAAGAAGATTGAATGGCTTTCATCTGAGAGAGTTTCTAATGAATAGCTTAACTGAACGTGTAGTCCAATGTATAATTTCTAATAAATATGTTCTGAAGTGGGAAATAAAGTGCCAAGAAAAAAAAAAAAATAAATAATAGAAGAAATAAATAAAGAGCTTCCAGCCTCCAGGCTGTTGACATTTGCATCTTCCAAATCATTCCTTCATCCAGAAAACAAAGGGTTGCTTTAATGTGTACTGCTTTATTTAAAGAGTCCCCCAAACCTTAATTATCCCTTAGCAATGCAGCTGACAGAACTATTACCAATCTGCTACAGCTACCTCCCAGACCCTTTGCAAACTTAAAGTTCTGACGTATTGTTATTAAAAATCTTTCTATGATAGAACATCAGGCACTTTGATGAACAACAAATGAGAGTATTTGCTGTACCTTTCCTTGCAGACCTCAGATAAGTGAGAGTACTGGCAAGGAAAGTGCGGGGATGAGGCTAGATGTTGTGGAGATTTAGTCAGTTTTGAGATTTACTTTACATCTTTACATGCGCACTTTGCCTCTAATATGGACATACAAAAATGAGCTTTCAAATTCAAAGGGCTAGCTACCACTTGTTGATTAATCCTCTAAAATCCAAGTACAAGCAGGGAAATGTATATTATACTGGGTTGATACTCAGGTTTGACTAACAGATGATAGCAGGGTGTTTTTTCATATGGTGTGCTCATGAGGTCAGTAGCTCTGTTCTTAGCAGTGAAAGCTTGTTGGGAAATCTTTTAAATGGGTGGAAATATAACTGTTTGTAAATGCACACACGCTGTGGGTGACACATCCCACAGCAGTCTTGGTGGTGTGGAGCTTTATAATTAGCACTGCAAAATCAACTCAGCAAATTCAGAAACTCGTATATTTCATTTGCATTTTTCACTGGAGTTAAATTTTATTTTCTTAGTGCAGTTCTGACTTTGGTGAAAGAACAAAATAGAGTCAAAATGAGTCAAGTAATGTAAAAGTAGACTGTGAATATCTCATCTCTGTGAAAAAAACAAATTTGTGAAAAGGGTTGGTATTTTTTTTGCTCATGGAATCATGCTCATATTACCTCTAACATTCATTATCTGTGCTTTATTTACATTGTATTTATAGCAATCACATCTCTTGAAGTATTGTATCTAGTAGAAGGTTAGTATGTTTTATATGTTGTTTGCTTTTATCCTGTTTAAGTTAGTCATCCAGTCAGAACCACAAAAAAATTACAAGACCTGCAACAGCAGATAATGAACAGCAGAAGTAAATATTTAGAGGCTGAATCACATAGAACAGGTTGCAGGTTTGGTCACAGAGTTCAGTTGAGAGTTAAGGACATTTGGGAAAATCAGGAATGGTATTTAAAATGTAAGAGCTATGATCAGCACTAAACCTTATATACAGTTAAACAATCCACCAACTAGCAGTGTTAATTTGTATCTGAACGAGTTCAGAATATATTCATTAGACTTATTTTTATCTTAAGTAGCATCTCTGCAACCCCTGCTTCCTACATGATGCATGTATTTAAGAGAGGAGAGAATCCAGCCTCTTCTCTAACCTGTCCAAAGTGATGTTGTTTTATACAACTGTTTCAAAAACAAAACACACTAGCATACACTGGAAAAGTGCTGGCAAAATGCCTGTGCATCTGAATGATTTCAAATCCTTGATAAAAATTAGAACCAGGTAAAGTTTTTTAGTGCAGAAAAACAAAGTCCTATTTTGTGTATTGCAGTATTGCAGAAAAAAAAGAAAAAACATTTTATCTGTTCTCATGCTATCAGCACTGGGATGCCAGAAGAGATGAATCTGGAGAGGTGATTTATGAGTCCTATGTAGTTTCAGCCTTTAAAGACGTATTGTACCCTATTCTGCATGTGTTTGCAATTCCAAAAATCAAATTAATTATTTTTCCATTTCTGCAGCAAACTGTACAGCTGGGCAATAACTGGAATCGGACAACTTTTGAAAAATCAGTTCCCATGAGCACATACTTGGTATGCTTTGCGGTGCATCAGTTTCAGTGGATAGAAAAAACATCTGCTAGTGGAAAACCTGTAAGTCCTGTTGCCTCCTGAACATGGTTCAGATGACAGATGTACTGGGATTTGCATTTAAAAAAAAAAACACCAAACATCTCTTTTTATGATACAAACAGGAACGTTTTTTCTCCTTTCCTACATCTGTGTTATGCAGCCTGTTTTATTAGGTTAGGTGTTCACAGTGGTCCTTCTGACTTTGACTACATACAGTGTTTTGCAGTCCTTCCCTGTCTTCCATCTTAGTGAGATTCCAGTCAGTACCTCCCATACAGGTGCATGGGTGAGGAAAGAGCACTATTTCTCCAGCATCCTCCCTGATCATGAGTATGAGGGAATGCACAAGTTCAGGGGTACAAGACATTCATGGCCATAGATACAAATATTTTACAGTTTTCTGTGGATTAAAAGGTGTGAAGCTATGCATTTGATGTCTTCCTATTTCCTGTCATGGAGACATAGGACTACAATGCTATGTACCATTATGTATTGGCTTTAATATTCTTTACTTTACAAGTGTCTAAAGGTAGCTGCCCAGTGTAGGTTCTTTACAAACAAGTATTGAAGCAGCAATAAATAAGCAGTGCCAGGGCCTGCCTGCACAGCTGGATATTTGGTAGGGGTCCTAATGAAGTGAATATATTTGAATCTGAATCCATTAAATCAAAATATCACCTTTATTTAGATGCAACATGCAGTAATATCCAGTTCTCACTTGAACTGAAATCTCCTGAAGGTGCAGGTGATGAGGCTTAAGGAGATCACAAGACATTACATTGAATCACATCCTGAAAGCCTAAATACAATTTGCTTCGCAACATAAACTTCTCATTTGGCCTACACCTAGTCTGAGATGCTCAAACTAGTGTTAACTAATTATTGGTTTCCATTTTATGTTAATCTGGGGCAGATGATGATCTCAGGACTGTATGCTCTTGCTGCTTCCCTGTTCTTTTCCCTTAGGGATGTAATACATGGTCTTGCAGTTCAGCTGAGCTGGCAGTGCTTTCCTCCTCTTCTGGAGGCAAGTGACACTGATGGACAAGTAATCTAGAGCAAAGCCCGAGCCAAACCACTGTTCCCCTAGCAAGGAAGCTCTTCCTGAGTTTCTCTATCTGAAAAAGCTCAACAAATCCTTCCCTACTTAAGGCTCTCTACTGATGTGAAAATCTGCCTTATATAAATCTCCAAAGTGCTGATCCAGTTCTTAGCAAAGACTTCCTGGCACAGCACTGTGCTGAGGCCTCCCTCCTCTACACCCTCGCTAGCATCATGTGTTATGTTTATATTATTTCTTGACAAATAGCGAAGGCTAAATTACACTTAGCCAAGCAAACAGAGCCTGGTTTGAGATAGCAACGCAATATTCTTAGATCCTTGGTTTTGGCTTACTAATTTGTAAAACAGGAAAATGTTTTAGGCCACCCAGTCACACAACTTTGTTAACCAGATGCTCTTAAGCGTGGCTGCTCCATTCACTATCAGAGACAGGACTTTGATTATTTGGCCTTGATAGATATTCTCTACAGTTAAGTTCAGAATCAGAATTTGTGCAGATTTGTACAATATAATATGGTGGGGGAAGCATGTAAAACTCTATTTCCTAGGTGCAAAAGTTAGCATTCTCTGCTTATCCATGCCATGCTCTAGACTATGGCTATGGTCAATATTTACTTTTTTTTCCCTACAAGCAAAACAGTAAAGCCACAATGTTCCTGACTGGTTGTAACTTTTCTAAATAAAAGGGAGTGTTCCACTGAAACGTGGTAATTAAAGCTGTGTGTGTAGAAGCAGCAGCGTTCATGTCAGTACAGAGCTTGCCTGAAGAAACATCTTCTAATTCAGACCTTGGTTACTACATATTTTATTAATGCTATTCACTAAATAATGTCTGAGGGCTTGCCTGCACTCGAGTTGCCCACACTTGGGTTTTTAAGTGAGGTTAAAATCATAACCATTTCCTTTCTCTTACCATGGACTTTAGCTTTACCAATATAAAGTATATGTGTAAGAATGTTCTTAATTAAGGGAACCATTTAACCTCCATAACTAAAAATTACCTTTTCTCCAGGAAAAAACAGGCTACCTTTGGAGTTTCTTAATCAGATATTTAGAAAGTCCTTCTCCTGACCAAAGTGTTCCTTTCCAAAAACTTTGAAGCCCAGCTGAGCAATGAGGTATTTAGATTCACAGACTGCTGAAAAGAACATTCCACAGTTTGCTGTATAAATTGCTAGCTATAAATCCCTCATCCAACAGAAAGAATCCATGTGATCCATATATTGCTTTCATAAACAACAGCAACAGCATACAGCTCACGTGGCACAGTAAATTATTTAAAAACTCTGCCATTCTGTCTTAAAGATATTAATGGAATCAGTGGTAGGAAATGAGCTTACAGCTGGAAACAATGTTTCTGAGCTGATTACCTGTCAGGTACCAAATGTCTGGTTTGGAAAATCACAGAGGAGATTATACAAATGAAACCCAAAGTCACTTCTAGTGCATGCTGAAGGTTTTGGAAACCATTAACATGGATCAGCTAGGGGACCAAAGACTGCTAAATTGGGTGAAGAGCTTACTGAAGTGGAAATTGCAAACTGTAATTGCAAACTGACCCTGAGGGAAATCCCTGGGCTTGGAATGAATTCCCGATTGAATTTCATAAGCTTTTTTTGGTTTTGTTTTTTTCATTCCGACTTTATTTCTGACCACTTACCCATCCTCCCCTCTCACTGGAGAGAGTGTAATTTCATGGTATCGAAATCAATGTGCTGTCAAGCTCTAAGAGGGCTTCTAGAGTAGGCCAGCTCCTTTGCTCCATTTGGACTCTAAACTCCTGGCTGTAAGACAGCACTGAGGAGTAAACAAGCCAGACCAGCACAGGCAGAAGAATGTGGCCCATTCATAAGAGTCACGGAGCCTGCAAAATTAGATGGGTCCATTTTCCTAAAGCCAGAAACTTCACTCCAAATAAATACCTCTTACTTCCCACACTGAAGATTGTGGAGGACAGTAAAGAGAACACCTTATAGCTCCTGCCAGTGGACACTCCAGTGCTATGGCTCTGCCCTGGGGCAGAGACCTCTGTGAGATTTGGGATAAAGAGATTGAGGGAAAGACCCCCAAAAGGCTCCATAAATTCTGAAGTTGAACTTTGTCTTCATGATGTGGAGGTAACATCCCACAAAGCTTTTTCAAGCTGTAGGCTTCCTCATCCTTATGGGTGCCATAAGGGCTCTAGTCCTCCAGGGCATGAGATTTCCTGCTGCTTGACAGTAATAACTAAAGCAGTACAGGCACCAAGCCACAGAGATGGAAAGGGCAGCACTCAACACACTAATTTTTGTGTTCAGGAAAAAAAGAATGTTCAGATATGCAAAAGGAGCAGAGAAATGGTCACTCGTCACACACAGAGCTACCAAACAGGCCAGTTGTCCTGGATCTGCCTGATTGGAGGAGAGCCAGAGAGTTAATTTTTGTCTGGTATTTCCAGAAGTGCAGCAGCCCAGGAGGCACCCTAACTGTGACCGGGTGGCTGTATGGCCTGAGGTCCCAGGCAACCAGCCACTCAACCTGCATGGGTCAGCATGCCCAGGAAGACTTACAGATCTGGTAAACACACTAACTTCAAAGGGTCTGAGATCTTCAAGCATAAAAGGACAAGAGGAAATTGTGATGACAGTAGGTAGAAAAGGTAGAGAGAAATTGAAGAAAATAAGGTGATATGGGCTTCTGACAGATTTCAGTATAGCTGTGCTCCTAAAGATCAATCTGATGGGATCATTCCAGACCAATGAACTGCTCAGAACAAGTGGATTCCCTTCAATTGTGCTTACTCAGGCTTCCATCTTGAGAAAACTAGACCTTGGGGAAGGAGGGGCTAATATGCAACAAGGCATTGCTCCAAGATTGGCCTCTGTGAGCTTCTGAACACGGGTTTTGCCATTTCACAATTTAAGCATACTCTGGCGTGCACAGATTATGTTGACTTGGTCTCCCTTACATGCAATATTTGAAAAAGTTTATGGAATCAATGTGTTATGGAACAGAATTCATTATTCAGGCCAGTCTCTTAGGAAAATCTGCAGTGTTATAGGTATGTATGTTAAATGACTTTTCAATGCTTGCCACCTTCTAACTTCTTTTAACTGAAGACTTGTCACTCTGTATTTTACAGCTGAGAGTTTATGCCCAGCCACTGCAAATACACACAGCAGAATATGCAGCAAATGTAACAAAAACTGTATTCGACTTCTTTGAAGAGTACTTTAATGTGAGCTATTCTCTTCCAAAACTAGGTGATTATTATTACTTACTTTTTTCCATTTTATTAACTCACTGTAACAGTTATGTTTCTCCTTAAGGTTTTTCTGCTTTGGTGGAAAATAGCACAAAAGCATTTAGTTGCTAGATGCTGCTATGATGTCAGGATGTTTTAAAACCATACCATGTGGTTCAAGATGTTCTTAAATGTCATGAGGGTTGGTCTCAGTAACCGTTTTGTTACCAGTTCTCACAGTTCAGTTTGCTGAACTGAAGCACCAGTCCCCGCGTGTCTTGTCAAGCATCTTGTGGAAAATCAAGGAAGCATTGGTGTCATCAGCAAAGGAATATCATGAGCTAAAGTAGAGCCAGAAGAAGTCTGAGAAAAATATGTACCACTTCCATGAGAACTTCTGGACAGAAGTCTGCAGTGAGATAAGTGAGGATGCAAACTGCCAGAGAGAATGTCATACTATTTATTAACCTTAGTGCAAAGTGGGTGTGTATCCACTTCTTAGAATGAGCGTGGTCCAGCATATAACTTTTGTTTCTACTGCTGGGCTAAATAAAGACCCAAAGCTAAACAACAGTGGGCACACAATCAAATTTTGCCCATGGTTACAAAACAAGCAAAGAAAAAGTTGTGTAGTTGGGTGTCCTCTAGCTCGGCTGTTTGGATTCTGGATCTGATTTGTGCAGTTTGAACTAATAAAGTAGAGAACGTAATCAGGGTTTTGGAAATGCCCCCTCCTGAGACCTCCAAAGGGGTAATTCAGTTAGGTTCATGAACTTAAAAGGATGTAAAAATATTAACTATAAACAAGCCAATGTAATGGGGAAAAAAAACCAAACAAACAACTTCGAAGGCTATGCAAACCTTCTACTGGCTGTTCATATATGTACACGTATGGCTAACCTCTGTTACTTTAACAACAGATTTTTTACATCCTCCTTTCAAAAAACATCATCTGAGTTTACTGTAAATATTTGTTTGCATAACAACTGAATTAGGGAAACCAGTTCTTTCATACACCCAGTAATAACTGAGACTATATCTTACCTATGCTTCATATTCAAACTTTCTTCAGAGTATGGATAAGGGCCTGTCTCCACTACAGGGTGGACTGGTAATCCCAGGTCAGCAGTATCAGAGGGTAGATGCTCTTGCAGATTTTATACTGTTCCTCTCAGAATGTCTATTTGTTGGATAACAGATCTTTACTTATTATGTTGTTCTCTCTGTATAAGAAGACATCAAGATCAACCCTGATGAATCAAATATGTTTATGCATAATGATTTGTTTAAATACTATGTTTCATGTTGATTTATGGCTTTTGGCATTGACATTCTTTTTGTAATTCTCATTTAGACTGTCGGTGAACCCCTTGGCAGACTATCAGCTTTGATTCTGTAATCAAATTGTTTAAATTAAAATAAGAAATTCTTATCTTCTGTTAGGGTGGGGTGAGGTTGTTTGCTCTATTGAGTTTTAAATCCACCTGCACTTTTTCAGTAACCCCAAATAATGTGGTCATTATTTGCAGAAGAAAATGCCAGGCCAACTGAACTCACAGTTCTAATTTAAACCTGTATTGACCCCCACAAATTGCCAGGAATAGAAGCAGATGTTGTTCACGACATGGGGGATTTACTTCAGTTAACATGTCAATAAATAGTTTTAATACAACAGTGTGACAAACAACAGCGTGCCTCATTATGCTGTGGATAGTTTCAGGTTTATGGCCTACAACACATCCCCAGACAATACTATTAATTTCTAGAGCCAAAATTAAATAATGTATGATATGCATGATCTCAGGAGGTGGCATACCATCACCTCACAAGACAGATCCCCAGTAGTGCAATTGCTGCTATCTCTATTAATCTCAGTGGAGCCTTGCTATCAGCTGCTCTAGGCCAGTTCCCAGCTTCTTAAACATAGGTTAGAGACTGCAGTCCACAGTAGTAAGCCAGAACCACAGATGGTAAGCAAAACAGGCTGTGAATACACAGTAAGAGGCCCAGCTAAGTGGCATAAAGGATACAGTGGTAATCATGTTCTCTTTCTTTCAATGTAGATAAAATAGCTATTCCAGATTTCGGGACAGGTGCTATGGAGAACTGGGGGCTGATCACATACAGAGAAACAAACCTGCTGTATGATCCCAATGAGTCAGCCACTTCCAACAAACAGAGAGTAGCTGCTGTGATAGCCCATGAGCTTGTTCATCAGGTATATTTTTATGATTCACTTTTACCATGCTTCAAAAGGGTACTCCCAACGTTTTAATCTTGCAAATACTGTTCTTAACTCCATCTCAGGATCTTCCATGTGTGCTCACAATTTGATTGCAAAATTTCATGTTAAAACAGTTCCCCGTTAGAGCTTTACCTACTGCCTTTGAATTCTTCTCTGGAAGGTAGATGCTCAGGTCCAGACAGTGAGCCAGTTTATGAAAATGTCTCTGAAATGTCTTTTAGGAACTAATTTGCATGTGCAGATGTCTCTTTCAAGCAAACAAATAGGGACAAGTATACACTGTAGGGGCTGCCTGAAAACATATCCTTACAAGCACAAATCATCAAATCAAGAGGAAGAAACTAAAATTTTTCATTGGCTCGTGAATCATTAGCAATCTCCCCAGTAATATGCAATTTTATAATACAAGGCATGTTTTAACACAAGGCGAAGCCTGAATTCCTACTTAAACCCCAGTATTATGGTAATTTTCATCTTGCAATAGGAAGAAAAGTGAACAAATTAATGTTATATACGGAGATGTGAGACACTAAAATGTACATTTACCATTTAGCTAACACTAAACATAAACAATGTTTATAATTGTAGTGGTTTGGAAATATTGTGACCATGGATTGGTGGGATGACTTGTGGTTAAACGAAGGATTTGCCAGTTATTTCGAGTTCCTGGGAGTAAATGCCGCAGAACCAGATTGGCAAATGGTAATTATTTCTGTCTTGTGGAGGGTTGGCAGGGCTGAGGGAGGCATTTTGGAAAGGAGTAAAAATTAGACAAGGATGATGAAGACTTAAAGTATGTTTTTAGAAAACTAACATAGTGCAATGCAACATAAAGGTATTTTAAGCTTCTCTACCTACCTATGTTATAGTCTGAGACTAGTCAAACAAAACTTTGTAAAGTATTGGTCTGCATGGAAAAGTCATTCTTTTTAACAAAGTAGGTCAATTGTTTGGTTATTATTATGGCAAGTAATACTTGGTGGATCCTGGACAGAACTTTAGCAATTTTGCAGGGTTGTTGGAAGGTCTAACACTGGAAGATGGAGTTTCTCATTTATTTAGTTCGGCTGTAGTGTCTTTTCATGAGACTTGTCTAAGGGCTGGGAACCCGGGCCTGCCTTCACAGTTTGGGCTATTTGTTAAGGAAAATATCAGCTCCCCCATTCAGCTGCTGCCAGCATTTAAAGTGTCATTTCAAATGCCCCAGCTCAGACAATCTGTAGTACACACACTGCAAAAAAAGGTAGTGATAGAGAATGGCCCACAGCTCTGGCTGGACAGCAAAACAAACTCCAGTCACTTTAAGGGGGTTGCAGACAAAAGGGTAGCTGTAAGTATGCATTATACTCTGAGGAATGATAACAGCATGTGAATAAAGGGAGGCTTGCTCTCTCCTTCCTCCCCTCCCAAACAGATGCAATGGCACATAGCATGCAATATTTCCCTCAGCTTTACAAGTGTAATGAGTTTCTGGCTACCAGAAAATATATAACATATGCCAGTGAAAGGAAGGAGGGTAGGTTTGCAGAGGTTGACCCTGTTGTCAAAATCTACCCACCCCTTCACCTAGTGACTTTAGAAGCAGGCAATGTTTATTTGGTGCTTTCCCAGCTTTCCTCCCTGCTCCCCATAAATATCTCTTCTCATCCACGTTATGTGAGGCTGAGAATAAAATCATTCCTGGGTCACTTCTTTTACACTTTGGAGTAGAGGATCTGTTGTGGTAACTACATTTAAAAAAAAAAGAAGTAATTAATGAGCCTAAAATTTGAAATAGTTCATTTAAGATCTAAAGCCATTTCAGTGTTAGCATCCTAGTGAGTAGAAGAGGAAAACTAAATAGAGAATTAGTCTTTTTCAGTCAATATTGATTAGGAAGTAAGGGGATTTTGACTGCCGGCAACTTCATTGTTTAAAAAATTAATAATTAATAATTTATCATTTATCATTTATAATTAATAATAAAAATTAATAATTCTTTTAAAAAAAACAAAAACCTTGGGATGGGGAATCTGCATCCTTCCTCCCTCCTTCTCTTCCTCTTGAGCTCCATTTTTGCAAGAGGAACCCATAATGTGTTGCAGATATTGTCACATTTCTGAAATTGGTAATGCAATTCCATTTTTTGCCTAGTGTGTGGGGTTTTGTGTTATGATACACATGGGAAAGCAGGATTTTCAAAAGGCAATTTATCTTAGTTAAGGAAAAAATTTACCCCTCCCCGCTCAGACATAAAGCAGATGTTTGCAAGTCCTTCTTTAGGGGAAATAAAATTTCATTCCATTTTCCTACTGCCTCTCCCTAGAGAAGCTGCAGTTCAAGCTACTTATTTTGTGAAGTTAGTCATATACTCCTGCGTTTGTTTCTATCCTAACACCTTCTCTTTCTCAGCTTGAACAGGTTTTAATTGATGATGTGCTTCCTGTAATGATGGATGACTCTTTGCAGTCTTCCCATCCAATTGTGGTGGATGTGTCATCTACAGCTGAAATCACGTCTGTGTTTGATGGGATATCCTACAGTAAGGTAGGGTATCCTCCTGTTGTGACTTTAGATGAAAAAAAAATGGGGCTTGGAAGAGGAGATTATAAACTCAGGAGAGCTTATATTAATAGCTCCCAACCCACTTGGTCTGTGTCCGTGTGGATATTTTTCCTATGACATTTCTGACTGTTGTCAGTGGTGATTCAATCAAAAGCAACTGTGAGAGAAGCAGCGCAGCCAGAACCTCAGTCAGCCACTGTGCTCCAAACCTGCACACAGACATGCAGGGATATCACAGCGTCAGCTGATTCTGCCACTGGAGATTTTGGTTTTAAAATTATCCAAAAATATATACTAAGCACATCCTTCTCCCACCACCTCATGTGATGATGCAGCCCAGTTATGTCAAGCCTCATAATCTAATAATGCAAGGGTTGGAACTTGATGATCTTAAGGTCCTTTCCAGCCCTAACTATTCTATGATTCTATGATGCAAGAGCAGATGTCTAGGTGTCCACTATCTCACTTTCCCATCTCACCTTTGAGGCAGTATAACCAAGCAGTGACAACAGGAAAGTAACTTTCTGTCTCATACTGCTCACAGTATCCCAGCCACTCTAGAAGCCTTACCAAAGATGAACTATACCAGCCTCTACTGACATTGGCCCTAGCCTGGGAGACAAATTAGCTCCACGTTTCACTAACAGTTGTAGAGTTCAGGACTGACTGCAGATGGTAGTGAACACCACATTAGGTATTTGACAAGCTTTATGCTCATCCTGGGGCTGTCGCTGTCAGTGGTGGTGGGGACCTGTGGCCATAAAGGCTCTCTCAGGAGCCAGCTGGAACTGACTGGAAGAATACACTGGATTTTTCTGAGCAGCAAGGTATTAGGATGTTGGTACAATCCAGCTGTTGCTGTGACCAGGGCACACAGAAGGCTCCTTGCACCCACAGCCTCTAGTAGTACTAGCTGGGTGGGACACCAGCCAGGAGCTCAGCGCTTATAGAAAACTGCTTTGAGGTCCAGAGCATTAGAGAGGCTGGCTGCCATGCTGAGGATCACCACTTTGATGTGATCAGCTAAGATCCAGACTAGGATTCTGAAGCCAACTTGTCTCCCTCCATATCAGATATAGCCAAAGCCATTTTGTCCTTAGACAACCTCAGACATGGAACAAAGCACGTGTCCCCCAGACTCCCTATCTATCTGGTATCTAACGAGGGAGTCCCTTGACTCAAGAGCACTGACAACACTTGCTTCTAGTTATTCTGACAACACTTGCTTCTAGTTATTCTTTTTCAGTGCATTGAAAGACAAGTCTGAAGAAGAACAGGAGAAAACACCCCTGTCCCTCTTCCCTCTCACCCCCATATATGCCAACAAAATGAGGAAGGAGCTGGGACTCTCTCTCCTCAACCAGCAAACTCCCATGTTACTTCTGAGCCTCATACACCATGTTTGTGTTGACAGCTTCTTGTATGACTCAGTCAGTGTTTCCTATCTGATGCCATAACAAGTTTCCACTAAACACACAAAATCCACCATTATTAAATACTGCTTGTTGCTTTCCCACTAAGCTCCCATTATTGGCTAAACACAAAGGATGTATTGCATTGACTTTAGCTTTAGCTGTGCTAGTCCGTAGCTGTAGATATTACTTTTATTAGCTAGACTTGTTCCATCCATTTCCATCACTTTTCTGTTTTCAATTGTTAAATCCTCTATCCAACAATACAACCAGTATTTATTGCATCATAAATGCCTCACAGTCAAATTATAAACTCTGTGAAAACCTGCATTGTGTAACACTGTTCTTAAATCAAACTAACAAAAAGTCAAGAAACATACAGAGCTAAATCAAATACTCTGGACCAAAATGTATTTTAATGGTGATCTAAGCAAGAGACATACTTTTGCATGGTCTGAACAAACAATGGAGAAAAAAACCCTAGCTTTTACTCATCTCTTTGTGCCTAGATAATTGCTACATGAACTCATTTTTTTCTTTTTTAAATGAAAACACTTGAGGACTCATGCATTGTATGGGAACAGTCTGCTTGGGATATAATTTGGCTTGGGATATAATTTGGCTTGAATGAGAAAGTCTTCGTGTAGGTTTAGCTCAAATTTCTGTTGGTATTTACATATAAATGCGTGACAAAAAAATTAACTTGTTTCTTTTTGGCTTTATTTTGGCTTCTCTTTTGCATTTTTCTTATGAAAACAATCTCCTCACAGTAATATTCATCACTAAACAAATAAAGCATGTTTTGGAATGCTCTCTGCTAGTTTTACCAGAGCAATTATAGGGCTTATACAATCCTAAAACTCTAATGAATTGCCTAAGGGTCTGGGGAGTCATTGCAGTATATTCTGTAAGCAAACATTTAACTGTTGTATGATCAGTAGTGCATTATGTGCCTAGCAAAGCTCTACTAAAGTTGAGTCGGTGACTACACAATTAATGCATATAAATTTGTTTAATATGCTCTTAAAAAGTAATTGTGTCTCACCTCTTTTCCAGTTTAATCCTCTTTCTTAGTTTAAAAGATTCTGTTAAAGTAACAATGAGATTTTTTTGTCTTTGGACTTCAAACGTTGACTACCTTTTCAGAAAAACAGATGCTTAAATTTAAGTTCTGCTAGAAATTTGCTCTTAGATCCCCACACTTTTGGAACCTCCCAGCTAAAGAAGTTTAGGATTAAATGTTCCATATTTCTGCCATATACAATCTTGTCATATACTTGGCAATTGTTACAGCTCTTTAGGAGAAGTTATGTGGGTGTTGATAAAAGACTCCCCCCCCACATCCCCATCAGACAAGGTCAGCCATTCAAATCAAGGTCACTTCTCTGAACCTCCCCAAATAGTTGAAAGAAAGGAAAATTATTAAACCAGTTATAGGAGCATCTGAGCTATTCTCAAATGCACTTCACCATAGACTACAGAGGAATAACAAAACCAGGCGGAAGAGACTGAAAAACAGCAGCAGAAGATGCAAGGGGCTAACTAGACACTGCAATTTAAAGCAAAAGAAATCTTCACTGTTCCCAAATGCATGCATAAATGAGTATTTCTACTCTCACTTTTAATATAAATGGGAGGGGATGGTCTATGAGAGGTGATATCAGGTATGTGGCTGATAGACAAATTTGAGCAACTGAGCTACTCTAGTGCATACATGTGGCCTTACATGTATTATTAGAGTAATCATAAACAGCTTTTATGATGGATATCTGTTCTAAATTTTACTGAATAATTTTTGAACATATTTCATGGCAAGCACGCTAAATTACTGTATCGGAAAAGAGTCATCTGCTAACCACCTTGACTTTGCAACAACAGTCTGGAAAGCAGTTTGGGGCATATCTCTTCCAACACTCCCTCTGCCATATATTGTGCAATCAAGTTGTTATTCTCAAACACCTAAATAGAGGAGACAGGATTTACTGAGAATTCAGATAACATTCTTGTTTTCAAGGGACAACTGGATTTTTAAACTGTTCATGGCATTAGGCTCTCTGCAGCCCTTTGATTTAGTTGGGAAAATGAAAATATGATAATCCTAAAATCATATTTGCATTTTAGATTGGGTTTGCACTGCTTTTGTTTTTCATCATTTTGTGCCCCACTTTGTTCCATGTGACTCTTCTGCTTCTCTCGCCTATCTTCCCTTTGTTTCTTTATTCTTTCAAGGTCCTAGTTGTTGTTTTTCTGTGAAGCCCAAGTAAGTAGGTTCTCTGATCCAATTTCTACCGTGCTTCAGAGGCCAAAGCTCTTATACAAGTCCTCAGAAATTCTCATCATGAATGTTGAGATGACTTCTGCAACATGGAAAGGCCCAGACTTGCAGCATTTTTTGAGTTTCCTACCTGCTGGGTGTTCAACTGAAGTCACTTCCTCTATCAGGCTGTGCTGCTGGACAGCGCTAGTTCCCAGCTGCTCTCACCCCTGTCTTCTTCATAGAGAAGCAGGGGGCCCTGCTCACACAAACCAGTAGAGTGGCAAGACAGTAATCCCCAGCAGCAGGGTTCAGGAGCCCTTCTGCTAACACAGCTGGATGTGGAAATGCATGTCTGATCACAGTTAAAGACCCATTCTTACATCCAGAATTAAGTTCCTGCAGACAAGCATGCCACGCTATGATGGAATCTGAAAAAACACTTCTTTTCTCAGATGGATGGTTTCTATTTCTGCCTTATAAAATATTCATTCACATGTTGCTTTTAAGATTAATGGAAATTCAGTGTTAAAGTTGTGTAGAATGACCTTCTACACAGAATGACCTTCAGAATGACCTGTAGAATGACCTAACCCTCTCCCTTTGTCCTCAGGGTGCATCAATCCTCAGAATGCTTCAAGACTTAATGACACCAGACCTCTTCCAGAAAGGCTGTCAGGTAAAGGTGGCACCAAAACACGCCAGAAATACAGCCCACCCTCATGTGACAGTAGCAAAATCATTATTAAAAAAATTAAGATCAGAGATCCTGCTATTAGTAACAAAAGTATTTAATGCATTTCAGTACTGAGTGGACAACATCAAGGGGAAGAAGTTCCATTCTTCCATACAAGAAGGAATGTGAACTTCATTAAGATTTGCTAGCCTGCCAGTGAGGACAAAAATTCATGACTGCTTTTAGTGGAGAAACGTCCTCCACCCCACTGTTTTCCTGTTGTCAGCTTTACCATCTGCAGCTTCATATCACCACGGTCCTCCAACCCACCCAAGCCTGCGATGCAGGGGCACTTTCACAGGCATAAGCTCATCGGTGCCCTATTGCAGGGGCACCCAGACCTAGAAATTTACCAAGGTAAAAGGGGAGATATTGTACATTTCATAGTCCTTTCTTGTGGAAGAGAAAGGATGATGTTACAATATTATGCAAAGAAAAAATTGGAGAAAGGAGCCCTCCCAAAAAGAGGAAGATTATCTGCCTTTTACACTGAACTGACATCTGTCATCTTTGAAGTGTTATAGCACAGGCTACCACATTTGTTCTTACCTCCCTCCCTCCTGGAGAGCACACTTGTAGGATGCTACAAGACGGTTGTATTTTCCTTTATTTTTCCTTTCATATATTCAATCAGGATAGTTCCACAAGATGTGAAAATACAGCCACCTTGTTCACAAGAGATTAACTCTTCCCCTCCACACAGACCCTTCAAGATCATTAAAATAGGTAGTGGTAGCTAACAGTGAAACAAGTAGCACCATCTACTGACTAAACATCACCAGGATCCAGATAACGGCAGAAAAACGCTTGCGAAGCAGCCAGGTAAGACACAGAACAGGAAGAGTGTTTAGGAGGTGCAAACACTTGCCTGAATACCATTATTCCTTGTAACAATCATTTTTATCACAGTTTAGAGGTGAATAGACTTTCCTCTTTCACTGAGTCCACAGCTAGTGAAACCTCCTGAAACAGCTTCCTCCTTCTGAACAACCTCAGACAGAAATTTGCAACAGGGTATGCTGATGTCCATTCAAACAAAATATAAATAACTCTTCAAATACAAATTAGCTTTGTACTAACAAGTCATACTGGAAAATGATGACTTTCAGCATTACAGGATGCATTGGAAAACAAAGGAACTTCATCAGCTGAATATTGATCCGTTCAACCTCCAGCTCCCAATACTACAAATCATGCTCTCTGTACTCTCTATATCTCTATACAAATGAATATATGTACTGTTTTCATAGGCAAAGAAAGACCTGGTAGTATTTTCACAGTCTTCTATTTATTTCTAGATATATTTGAAAAAACACCATTTCCAGAATGCCAAGACAGATCAATTTTGGGAAGCTCTGGAAGAGGTATGTTTTGCAACAACCCAAACCCTTACTAATAAACGTTTCATATCTCACCCATTGATTTCCCAACATTTTTATATTTTGTAGCTTTTCTACTAATGAGAGACCACAAGCTAGGCAGCCTTGCAGTATATCCCAACACATCTTAACATCTAGCAAATATATTATTTCCTCAACTTTTTTTTATAAGACTGTGGGAGTGGAATAAGAAACAAGAAAGGACACCTTGCTAATTAACAGCCTGCTACTGAAAAATTTCCCCCACAACTCAAACTCACTTCATGGGTGAAAACACTCCTCATCCACCACACATATGCACCTCAATACTCTCCATTATCTCCAACTAGATTCAGCTGTTCGAAAGCTCTCAACATTATCCATTCCCAAGTAAGTTTGCTGCTTATCTCTGTTTCTAGCTTCTGAGTCACAGAATCATAGAATAGCACTGGAGAAGTCCTTACAGAACATTCAGTTCCAACCCTCTGTCATGGGCAGGGACACCTTCCACCAGACCAGGTTGCCCCAAGCCCCATCCAACCTGGCCTTGAGCCCTGCCAGGGATGGGGCAGGCACAGCTTCTCTGGACAACTTGTGCCCGTGCTTCACCACCCTCATAGTGGTGGAATTTCTTCCTGATGTCTAATCTAAATCTACCTTCTTTCCCTTCTGAGCTGAGTCATTCTCTATCCCATAATTTTCTAATTTTTCCTTAAAGCTTGCCTGTCTCTTTCCATCTATTTCATTACCCCCAAAAGCCCACATGCATACTGCCAGGTTTCTCCCCAATGATACCACCTTTTCTTCCACCACTATGGACATTCACACAGACCAACTTGTGTCTTCTTTCAAGTTTTCCTCTTTTCCTTGGGCCAGACTTCTTCCTGCTCTCTGTCTGGCACTCTGCATCTTGACACCATCTACTTATCTGAAGAAGGAAACTGTGACCTTTAGCTCCCTTCCCTCACAGATGGCACCCTGGGCAGGCAGTGGCAGCTTTCTGCAGAACCAGTCTCTAGGATAGAAGTTCACAGTCCACAGAATGGATCACATTTTACATTAGTGCAGCTGCTAATGTTTATTACTGGCTTCACACTCATAAGTGCACTTATACTGCAAGGGGACTTCTGGCTTTGAAAAATCTATGTACTTTCTGTCCTGATCAGTTGTTTTCTCAGAAAAAAATGGAATAATCTTAGAACATACAAGGGGCCTCAAAGTTTCCTCAGTATTTCTTGTCCATGTTACTAGCTAGTCTCCTGCCCACATACTTCTGATTTTCTTAGTCTGTGTTCAAGTTTCCAGCTCATTTCTTCTGTCAATGACAGGCACCACAAAAGGATTTAATATTTTTTGTAGTGAACATACTCTTTCCTCTTCCCCTTTCTGCTCTTCTTTCTCTCAGTATCAGAGATATTTTCTTTTTTCCACTTTGGACTGAATTTCCTTTTTCACAGCAACCTTCTCCCATCATTCATAGGCAAGTGACATACCTGTGAAAGAAGTCATGGACACATGGACTAGGCAGATGGGCTACCCTGTTTTGGAGATGGGAACTAATTCAGTATTCACACAAAAACGTTTTCTCTTGGATCCCAATGCAGATGCTTCTTACCCTCCTTCTGATCTTGGGTAAGTTCCTGCTGTAAATGTCTACCCAAAACAGGCAGAAATACTGTACAGATGCTTTCTTCAACTGAAATACACACAGTCAGTGTTATACTCATTCTGGCTAAACTTACTCTCAGCATTTGTTTTTTAAAAGAAACCAGCAGAAATTAGACACAAATATTTTAAATTTAGGACATCACCAGCCCTTTGCTTCAGGGTTTCTTTCTCAAACACAGCAGAGTAGACTTGGACAGAGTCTTCCAGAAAATTTATTTCCACACATAGATAACTCAGATGATTGCAAGCCATCTGTTGAACCACTGCAAAATATAATCTGACAGACTAAGGAAAACTGAGACAAAATTGTCTCTGCCCAGAAACCAAACACCATGACCCAGGTATTTTGCACCATGAGAGTTTATTCCTTCTCCTATGTGATATAGGATCTGTAACACATTAGAGGGTCTTCACACACCATACAGGGTCTTCTTTATACATCTTAAAAACATGAGTTATTGTGAAATAGCTAGTCATATATAAATGTTACTAATCCTCCTCAAGAGCTATTTTTTCTTATTTAACTCAGGACAGTATAGCATAATTTTACTCATCTAAAAGATAGTTATTTAGTCAAAGTTAGCCACCTTGGACTCTTATGTGGCAGTCAGACAGCTGCAGACATTCACCTACTGTATTCAAGGTAGGAGGGATTCTTTATAGGAGCATATTTGTCAATTAACAGATGACTAGCCTGAAAGGAGACGAACCCTATTCGCAGGTTGGTGGACCTGCACAGAAAACTGTCTTGGCTGCACCATGGCATCAACCAGCTGAATGAATGTTCAGAGCTGGCATTGTGTATATTCTTAGCCAGGCCTAATTTTGAGGCATTACAATTTTGCTAACATTTCAGTGAAAAAGATTCAAATTAACTCTTATTAGGAAGTTTTCATTCCTTGAACTGTCCCAGTCAACTAAACCAGTAAAACTTGCCTGTATGAACCAGAACTAAATCTACCCAAATGCAATTTTGCATTAGCTTATACTAGTTATTGTAGTACAAAGAGCAAGAACAAGGAGAAACAGTTGTGGAGCTTAATTTCATTGTGATTCAAAAGAAAAAACTTGAGCAATGACAAGTCCCATGGTATTGGCAGTTTTGGATAGGTAGCAAAAGAGCTGGGATGAGATAATTACCTGTGTATTTGGAATGTTGTATTTCTCCCAATATAAGCAGAAAAGCTTGCAGGGTTTTGAAGCAACTCTAGCTGCAAACTACAGCACTGTGCCATCTGAAGGCTGGTTCTACACACTATTCAGGAAAAAAAAACCTGTTTGTGTTAAATATTTTGACTTATTGCACTATGCTCTCAGGTAGCATACTCAGGAATCATGCTTTGGCTTGACTTCAGGACTTACAGTACACTGCCATTTGTCATTTCTTGAATAGAAATCCCAGTGTTGTGCCTACCTTAACCTGTCAAGAAGCTGAACTGTTCACTACTTCTGCTATTCCCAAAGTGAAAGGGGAATTTGTTTTTGAATATGTAAGCTTTATAAATTACTTAGAAACAAAATGCAGTAATATGTATTATAATGTTGATATTATCTATCTTAAGACAGACTTACTCCCTTGCCTGAAAGTCAATCCACTGAAAATCAATACTTCCTCCTTCCACCCTCACAGATGAGGAGACTCCTGAAGAGATCCTACCCCAGATGGGAATGGCCTAATTAATTTCCAGGTTCAGGGTTTTGATTTAAGCAGTGAAAACTCCAGGCCTTGAAAAAACTCCTGAATCCTGCAAGGATAGTCTCCTGAGCTGTCTGTTTGTTTCAAATTTGTTTGGCTTGAAAGAGTCCTCTCCTGAATGCTGGCACTTAAAAGAAATGGAAATTCAAAAACTAGTTCTGGGATGGACTGTAATATGCTAACATGGAACAGCAGCTGACTTCTCAAAATGGCTTAACAATTTTAGCAGCCCTATGCAGGTGGCTGTGCAGGTATGCTCATGGCGTGCTCTGCCATCCTGCTTCCCTGACTACCTGGTCACAGTCTTGATCAGGCTGTGCTGAGGCTCCCTTTCATCCAGTGCCTCACTTTTGGAAGAATTAGGATTATCTTGGAGAAGGAAAACAGTCTGGAAAAGGCAAGAGGTCCTACTGACTGTATTGCAGTGGTTGCTTAAGCTCATTCAGCTTTCTCATCTGTAAAAAAAAGGTTTAATAATACCTAACCACTTATTTCAAGTCAGCATTGAAAAGATTAACTGGTGCCTGCATAAAGCCCTACATCAACTATCCACATAGAGTCATCTTTTACTGAATTAATAGCTTTGTACCCTGCTAGATTATTATCAGACATAACATGAAGATACTGCTTAACAGGATTTCATGTTCCAAAGCTGTGGTAATAAACTACAAAGTATAGCACAATGGAAATTCATTCATTTAATCTCTCTCTGATTATGGGTAATTATTATCCTCTCCAGCATACAGAGTCATCAAGAGGTGAAGATTGTATTCAGAAGGACAGGGCCCCAGCAGTTCCATTGATTTTTAAAAAACGCAAACCCAACCAGATAAGTTGTGCAGCTTTCAGCCTTAACTTTAGGCACGTAATTTGCACAGTACCATATTAACTTGTCTAAAACATCAGCATCAGACAGTGGACAAAATCTTACCCCATCCCTTTCTCAGTTAACCAGATAATTTTGAAAACTATTGATAAATACAAAGTATTAAGACAAGATACCGTTACTCCCATCTCAGACACTTCATACTTTTTATTTTCCTTTCAGGGAATGTAACTGCTCCAATCATACCACACCAATATGTGACATTTTGTTGCCTGAATAGAGTATCATAGCACAGAAACCTTTTTACAACACAAACAACAGCTATTGGTAAAAAAGCTATGTTTTGTTACTAGGGATATTTGGTAAATGTATGTGTACATAAGCACACAGTTGGCTTCATAAAACAAGATTTAAGCATTAAAACAAATTAAAAAGATATACTGGAATTTTATTTTTAGCATTTGCTTTCAAATGTCATTCGATTCTCTTTCCCTTGAAATAATTTCAGTTACAAATGGAATATACCAGTGAAATGGAGACTTGGAAGTTCAACAAACTATACTTTCTACAACCTATCAGATTCTGCAGGTAAACTTACCTTTCTCTTTTAAGAGTAATGAATGAATAAAGCTTTTTAATGTCTTTAACAAGAAAGAAAATACAGAATTAACTTTCATGCTTTACAGTTTTCAGATCCAAGAACCAACACAGACCTTTGTTGGGCTAAAGTTAGTAGTTACATCTGCAATGATTATTTCCCCTATACACATGTCAATTTAGGCTTAATTCAGTAAAGTGCTTAAGCATATGTTTAAATCCAGCCCTATTCAAGAAAGCATCTAAGCATATTCTTAATTATGATGTACTAAAACCAGTAGGAATTTGATATGCCCATTTTCAAGCCTAAGAAAAGAGGTGATGTAGCAGGCTGGTGAACGCACCTGTGGCATGGTAAACCAGCAATCTGAGTTCAGTTAAAGAAAAAGAGCTACGTATGCTTTAAACATAAACATTTTCTAATGCTGATTTAAGGAATGAGAAAATACCTACATGGGTATTTTTGATGATTGTTGATGCAGTCAAATTTGAAGTTATAATTCTAGTGGCCAAAAGGGGGAAAAAATGGAGGGAGGGGAGTTTTTAAATTTCATCACATTAGAATTTCAGAAATATCACAATCAGCTCTTCTCTTCATGTACCCTTAAAAAGTTAGTTGACATAAACTGAAAAATTAAATTAGTTGAGGATAAAATGTGAGAACTTTAAAACTAACAGTAAACATGCGGGTGAAAAAACCTTTAGAAATATTTGCAAGAACTGCTTCTTTGCAACACTTTACTTTTTACAATGACACCAGTTTTCACCACTCTCCCTAGTCACAGTGATCTCCATTTTAAATTTAACAAACTAGCTTTCCCAAGTAATTACCATAATTCACTATTCTAAGACAAGTGCTGGCACTCATCAAAGTCTACAATAACTCATCTTTACTCACAGCCATTAAAAAAAATAAAGTGAAGGTTTGCATCTCATTTCAATATTCATCAAAACCAAATATTACTTTTGGAGATACAGAATCTCCAGTGAGTTCTGTGTCATGTAAGATGCACAAACTGATCACTGTTTGTTTTGCAGGAATTGCAATACCATCACCTCCCAATTCTTTTGTGAATATTAATCCAGACCACATTGGATTCTATCGGGTGAATTATAATAGTCATAACTGGGCCAGTTTAAGCACTCTTCTGGCCAGCAACCACAAAGTGAGTGTAATAACATTAACCTACCCAGTGGGTCTCTTATAGAGGCCTTTTGAAGCTGTTTTTTTCTGAAAATAATGTATATATTTTGACCACTCTTTTTTCACACAGAACTTTTCAGCTGCTGACCGTGCAGGGATTTTGGATGATGTCTTTTCTTTGGCAAGGTAAACTGATTTCCTGCAGAGATTTCAACACAGACTCTTCACTTTACATTGACTATCAATTGGAAGTAACTCAGGTGGTTGAAAGAAAGTTTCAGAATTTGTTACATCACAATTGTTTATTGGCTTGTGTTGTCTTCAAGATGGGCAAATTCAAGTATGCATTGTCAACTTGCAATATCAACACAGCCAAGGGAAATGCTACCCTTCTCTTCAGTGGAAGAAAAAAGAAAGAGGGCTTTAATTGCACAGATCTTAGGGGTGTTTTTTGCCATGTAAGTAACAAGAACAGATGCAGTCCAGAAGATGTTCAGAAAATCAGAAGCACTTCTACAATGCATAGCATGGCATTAAGAAATTACCACCTCAGCTATCTTGTTTAGAAGTTTGCTTGGAAACTTCTAGCTCTTTTACCCAGCCATGCTGATACAGATAAACTTTAGATGACCTTCTGAGACAGCCTATAAGTCTGAATTGCCTCAGCCTTTCAGGATGTCTCCAGATCTAGCAATTCCTTTTTGTGTGACAGGAGCTGCCATAGTCAGTTGACAGTTACTCACTTCTGGGCACGCTGGCCTGCTGCACAGTGTGAGCAGCCTTCTCACAGCACTGATCAACAGTGATCCTCAGTGATCTCTTTGGAAAACACCTTCCAAGTTACATTCGAGATTATCTTACCCCTCCTAGAATTTATTTCAGACCTTCTAAAGGAAACAGTGTTCTAATATCTTTAAAGAAGCAAGTTATTCAAGTTCATTAAAATAACAGAAGTTATGTTTTCTCCTTCCACAGATCTGGACTAGTGAATTACTCTGTTCCTCTGGAGCTCACAAAATACCTAATAAATGAAACAGACTATTTACCATGGCATAGACTTATATCATCTGTAACTTATCTCACAAACATGCTTGGAGACGACACAAATCTCTACCCCCGGTTTCAGGTGATGAAGCGAAAAAAAACCCAAACATTTCTTCATGACAGCACTGGATCTGATAGCTCAAGACGTAACAACAATAATATTGAAGATTAAGTCATTTTCAATGTTGCTGAACAATCAGCATTTACTTTTTTTACTGTACTTGAAAAAAAAGTGCTGAGAACTGCTTAGTACTATTCTCTGAATTACTTGGATTCTCAAGTCAGGACTATGCACCTGGAGGAGAAAAATATGTTAGCTATTCTTATAATCCATCACCATAAGTCACAGTACAGACATTTGTTAGTGAAGGCTGCCCTGTATCCAATAAAGAAATGTGTACAGGGCAGCAAAATCTCTGACACCTGTCCTTAGCACGAAGGGTGGCTATATCTCATTGTGGCAGCGAGCAGGTTTGTTGGTTGACCTAACGTGCTGAACATGAGTTAATGGTCACTAAAATAAGCATGTCCTGAACTCAGTATTATCTTTGGAAAATAGTTGTGGCAGTGTGTCCTTGCTGTACCCCAACCTTCATTTGGGAGGACAGGCAAGGCTAGAGAGAAGCAGGTTGCCTTTGTCCTAGATGCAGATCAGAACTGCAGGCATTCAGAATTGCGGGCTGTAGTGATCTGGAAAGATAGTGTGTGTTTGTATTATTTTTTAATTAAGAGATGCTAGTTCTGGGAAAAAATGCAGGAGAATAAGCTATGAACACAAATATATTATTATTTAAAGAAATCTACACAAGTAACCAATCCCCTTTTTCTACCCCAGGAATATTTCCGCCACCTGGTAAAACCTGTTGTGGATCAACTGCACTGGAATGATGTTGGAGGTCATTTGGAGAGGTTAAACAAGATTTTTTTTCCCCTTCTCATGTTATTAAGGGTTTTATTCCTCATATTATTGATGGATTTTAAGAACACTGAGAAGTAGGAAAATCCCCCTCTCTCTCTCTTTTAAAGGCTCCTTCGTACGTCTGTTCTAGACTTTGCCTGCAGTATGGGTGACACAGAATCTTTGAACAATGCTTCTCAACTATTTGATCAATGGCTACAAGGACAAATGTGAGTGATCACAGGTTTTGTTGCTGGTGAAGAACACAGGATGTGACTTAGTCACAGAACTCAAGCAAGAAAGGGGGAAGAATATTCAGGTATTGTCTCTTTATTTTAGTATTCCTGCAAATCTCCGACTCCTAGTATACCGGTATGGGATGCAGAACTCAGGCAATGAGACATCGTGGAATTACATGTTTGAGAAATACCAAGAAACTACATTAGCTCAAGAAAAAGAAAAGCTGCTCTATGGCCTGGCATCAGTAAAGAACATCACCCTTTTGGACAGGTGATTTAAACACACCAAGATTTTTCTTCCCCTACAGAAACAGCTGGTCACTGTTTGCTTATTCCCCTCTCCTCTCTCCTGTGCTGTCAGTTTTTTCAGATTACAGCATGAGGAATGCAACACATTTTCAAGACCAGTTACCTAACACCTACCCTCCCTCCCCGCAAGATTGTACTGTAAGAGAAAAAAGCCTTGCTCCTTTAGTGGAAAGATATTGAATACGTGGTAGTTTCTTCACACATTCAACAGCTTTCAGCTTTTCAAGCAGTGCCTTCGTCCTGTATAATTTTAGCTGCCTAATAATAAAAATTAGTTGTCTATGTTTCCTTTGTAAGCAGTGAAAGGAGGCAGGACCTCCAGAGTACTGGTTATTCGAGAGGAGGAAAGGGACTTTATTGTTGCTTGGCTACACAAACAGGCTGGACTATTGACTGAACCAATCTTGTTTTCACTATTTTACTAAAGTACAGGAATAATAATGGTTTTCTCACTGTTTTTGAGAAACCTAGAGACATAAACCCTATTTATTTTCTAAAGAAATGCCTAACTGCTTAGATTTCTCTCAATACAATTATCTCTTGACCCAGTTTTCAACTTACATTTTAGATCGGTGTACTTCACCTTTAAAATACTGTAGGCAAAAATAATAACCCTGCCTGGAAATTGGATGTAGACTGTGGTGACAAATACTTGAGAAATATACACATTATTTCTCATCATCATCAATTAAGTCTACAAGTGTTAATTTACACTTGGTTTCTGTGCTCTTTCTGATTTTTATGAAATTTCCCTTAGGTATCTGAAATATATTTACAACACCAGCCTCATCAAAAGCCAAGATGCATTCACAGTCCTGAGATACATCTCATATAACACCTACGGGAAAACAATGACCTGGGACTGGATACGACTTAACTGGGAGTACTTAGTCGACAGGTATACTAATGAACTCACTGAAAACTTTGTCTACATCCATCTATCTATCTTGTTATATGCCATGCTTTTTCTATGTTTTCACTATACAGCTGTAATCAATGGCTCTTGAATAATGAAAACTGAGGGCATATTTAACATAATCCTATCCACCTGCTACAAAAAAAGTTCTTTGCTGTTAACTTGAAAACAGTTCATTCCCTAAATGATCACTACCCAAAAATGGTAATTGAAAAGTACAGAAAGGATATAGATATATGATTACTGGCTGGAAATCAGTCAGTCATGTCTCTGTTTTTTCTATTGGTATCATAACAAGAAGACTGTATAGATTTTTTTTAACTTCTGGTGGTAACAACGAGGAGCAGATGTGCAGACGAGCAGTGGCAGTAACAGGAAACCTTTTAACTTTGCTCCTCCCTATTTGAGTGACTTCTTTCTCCTTCCTTCTCCTTTCTAAGTGCTTGAAAAGGGCACAGAAGCAAAGCACACCTGCAAGCCTAGAGCTGTGAACTGAACAGCGTTTGTCAGCAATACACTTGATTTCCAGTATGAGACAAAAGTCACTAATTAAAAGGTTAAAAAATCCCCCAATAGAGATCACTCCATTAGTAAATCTATTTGAGAACAGCACAGATATTGTATAGAGGTATCAGTTTTCAAGTATTTTAAAAACAGCTGAAATCTGAGTGCATCTGTTTTATCATACCACAGTTAGAAATTTAAGCTTCAGATAATTACTTGTGCCTTTTTTTTTAAAATAGTTTTGCATAAAGCTCCATTTATTAAATTATTTTTCTAGATTCACTATCAATGACAGATACCTTGGTCGAATAGTGACTATCACCCAAACTTTCCACACTGAGCTCCAGCTTTGGCAGGTATGGTGACAGCACTTCTACCGGGTTTAAGTCAATATCTTTAACAATCTACTGTCCAGGGAACTTGAATTCTGTTCTCTAAATGTGTAAAGCAGAATGAGTTACCGCAAAACTATCCCAGTGCTACTAGAGTGAGCTTAAATATCTCTCCCTGCCAAAACTGCCCTCAACCAGATTGCTGCAAAAAGCCATTTGCCCAATGTTTGCTTCATGTCAATTATTTTTCTCTTTTCCAGATGGAAAATTTCTTTGAGAAATATCCTAATGCTGGGGCAGGAGAATCACCCAGGAGTCAGTCAATTGAACAGGTGAAGAACAACATTGAATGGCTAAAAGTAAACAAGGAGGAAATACAAATGTGGCTAGAAGAACAGCTAGGCCCTTAAAGTTTTACTCTGTTAAAAATACCAGGCACTCATTCTGGGCACTCAGATCATCAGAGATATTTAGCAATGTGGGTTTCTCACTTAGGTACCTTAGAGGACCAAGGCGTAATATTTTTTCTACAAACACTTGGGAGACCACTGCCAGAGCAACATTTCTGAAGTTGGTGAGCAGGAATAGCTTTATATTCTGAGAGGTGAATTTGCCTGAACAAACAAGACAAACATTTAAAGTTACTCAAGGCAGAAGTGATGGCAGAACTGGAGTACTCACTGATCAAGCTGGTCTCACTCCTTCCTCACACCACTCTGAAAGCTACTTCTTGGTTGACACAGAACCAACATAGTAAACTCAGGGATTCCTTTCCACATGAACCTCACAGGAGATTTCTCCTGAAGGAAAGGGTATTAAGCAGTAATTTTAACATTATCTGAAAATCATCTCCTATATTCATAGCTGTTAAAAAATCTCCATTTGGGATTTAGCTTTGCATTCTGATACTACAGAAAGGCCATTTAAGCTTCCCTCTCCATTGATTTTTGAAGTTTAACTGCTAGTGCATAAGGGATCAATATTATCAGCTTCTTTTTCAATATTACTAGTTGGGATTCTGTAGCTTGGAGGAGGGGTTGTCTTGGTTATTTTTGTCTTATTTCTAAATCTTCTGAAAAGAAGAGCTTGTGGCAGCCGTTACTGCAAACAAGACATATGGTACTTACTGTCTCTTATGTAAAAAATAAAATTTAAAACTCTACCTGGAAATCTCAGTCTGTTTCTAATAAAGTGCTAAATCTGCCTGGCATATAGAAAAGCAGCTGTTGCATAGCCCAGATGTGCTGTACATACACCTTCAGTGGCTTTTGAGAGGGAATCTATTATCTCCTCTGAGAAAACACTAAAAGAAATGTCAAATTCAAGTAGAGGGGCAGATGAGTCCCACTGCTGCAATTCAGCCTACTACAGAAGTATAGGCAGCAAATAAACAACTCTTGGTCCCAAGTCCTTCTGCCACTATGATGCTGGAGAAGGCAATGGGGCCACTGCCTGCCCTCCCAGGCTGAGAGATGGGATGTCTTGAAGCTACCAGGTTTCCATGCACTGTGTCCTGACACTGTACAAGAAGCAAACATGAGCATCAGCCCCATCATCCTTACCTTCTCCCAGGTCTTGTAGGGGAAAAGGCGCAGCAGAAGGGAGCCAGTCCTGCTCCAGATGCCCTGGGAGCAGGACCACCGAGCATCTCACAGCAGGTAGCCCTGGGAGAGATTAGGCACAGCTGTTGGGAAATTCTGCAGCTAGATGAGAGGACAGAAGCATGGAAAAGCACTTTCCTTCTTTCTGCAATGCTATTCAAAGAGAAAGCTAGAGACATTGAGGAGATGGCTCTAATGTACAGAATTCCCAGGGTACAGGCTCTGCCTGCCTCTGGACCTTGATACAGCACAGAGAAGCTTATAAAGTTCCAGATGGAAACACTTTACCCTGTTCTCCCAAGAGATTCAGGGCTGGAACTGTTTTGGACCTCTCCCTAGACACCCAAACAGCTGCAACAAGCCCAGACAAATCTGGTGACCAAGTCAGATGTTCTGTTTTGGGCTATATTTTGTATTTCTGCTGGAAACAGTTTTGATAATTCAGGGATGTTTTCCTTACAGTGAGCAGGCTGGGGATGCACAAAAAGTTGGGAGGGGACACATTTGGTACAGCTGACCCCAACTGACCCAAGAGATATTCCATACCATACAACATCATAAAAGCTGAGGGGAAAAGAAGGAAGAGGGGGGTGTCATTTGGAATTACAGGGTTTTGTCTTCCCATATAACCATTACATGTGATGTAGCCCTGCTTTCCTGGAGATGACTGAACACCTGCCTGCCAATGGGAAGTGGGAATAAATTCCTTGTTTTGTTTTGCTTGAGTGCATGGCTTTTCTTCCCCTGTTAAACTCAACCCATGAGTTTTCTCACTTTTACCCTTCCAGTTCTCTTCCCTATCCCACTAGGAGGGAGTGAGCTAGGGGCTGTGTGAGGCTTAGTTGCCAGATGGGGTTAAATTATGTCAAAGATACATGTCAAAGGAAAATGTCAGTCATTTGCCTCCTGCAAACAAACCATGACAGGATTTTGACTAACAGTGGTAACAACTTGCTACAAATACCAGCTGATCTTTAAGGTAAAGAGGTGGCAAGAGGCCAGGCAGTTTCTTTAAGTTTTCCTTCTGGCTCCAATTCACACAGAGAGGACAGTGAAAACCCCTCACCCAAACTCCCAGCAGCTCAACACATGGGGAGCAGACTGTCCTCAGGCAGCTGCCTGCTCAGTAGGACATATGCCAACTCACCCTTCACAATTTTACAGTTTTGATGAGTGAATTGAAGGAGCAGAAGCCAAAACCTCCTTTCTTGGTTTCAAGGTCACAAACTGGTTTGGGAGGATCACACTGCAGTACTATCAGCATGTTTTTAACACTGGGACTATCCAACAGGATGATCTGCTCAGAAAAAATTTCTGTGCTCTGCTGATGCTGTATGTTTTAATTGAAAGTTTTTAACTCCAGCTGGCCACGATGTGCAACAATGCAAAACTGATGTGAAGATGTTCAAGCAACAGCTCAGTCAGTTTCTCTTTCAGAAAAGATTTAATGAAATTTGGCAGAAAGAACTGATTTTCTAACTATTCATACACTTCTGTCACAATGTGCTGTAGAAAGAAGATGAGTACTATGGGAATGATACAAAATTAAGCAGTTACTTTAAGACATTTCTATCTTTTGTTACATGTAGCCCTTACTGCCACTGTGTGGGATCAGGCTAGCCAGCATTATCAGCTACAGTAGTAGGCTTTCATCAAGGCTTTCATCAAGGAAAATATAACAAGTAATGAAGATTTTCTAAGGTGCTGGAAAGCTATAGCAAAAACAGCTTTCATCCGAATCACACAGACATGCCACTGTTCAAGACAAAGCACATATTAGTAGCATTGTGTATCGCTGTAGTAGAAAAAATTTAAAAGGTCAATCAGAGAGAGACAACAGAAAAATACCACTAAGGCAAAGAGAAACCAAGAAGCCTAGGGCAAGCCTGAACAAATACTGAGCTCATGATCCTGAGTGAATGGAGAAGTGGATTTAAAGAGTAAAAGAAGCAATTGCTGCTTGCCATTTGATTCTCACTCTGTTCAGGGAGATGGGACCACGTGCAAGCTTTTGCGTCTGAGCCACACTGGATCAGAGAGACATTTGGCTGGTGCCTGGAACTTCTGTTATTACGGAAAGGTTAGCTGAACTTCTACACTGATTTTAAGTGGGTAGGTGAACATGGAAGTGTATTCAAAAGCCCTAGAAGGTAACTGCTTTTATGGTAGGTTAAATGTTCTGTCAATTTTAAATAATGTTCTCTAGATTATGTAGTGCTCTTGCTACCTTTAAACAGCTCATGGAGAATGTACAGTATGGCATGTGCCTCTTTCAGACTGTTTGTCCTAGATGGATAACAAATCTGGTACATGCTAAATCTTTCAGTCAGGAACTAGTGCATTTACAAATGGTCTGTGATAAGCTTAAGAATGCCAATTTGAAACTGAACCCAAAGAAATGTGAACTGTTTTAAAAAGAGATAATTTTCCCTCGGTCATTCGATCAGCAAGGAAGGAATTTCCACTGATAAAGCCAAGTGAGGGAGTGCAGACCCAGCTGGCCCCTTAGATCCACACAGCTTTTTGAGGCTCTGCTGCTCCTACTGTACCACAGAAAAAGCTATTGCATGCAGTGAGGTAGAGAAACACTTTGAGAAATCGAAGCGAGATGCGGTGGAGTTAAAGAGGGGCCAATTGTGACTGTTGCAGTGTTGCCTTACACTAGCTCTGTAAATCCTTCTCATATCAGCTACAGCTGTGCGTCCCATAGAGCCTGAGCCCATGGGCCCCAGGAGGCTGTAAGCCTGATAGGTATGAAAACGCTTTATCTTGATGATTCAGGTAAAGAAACAACTGAAAACATTGTATTACTGCACAGAACCAAAAAAAAATGAATAGCAGCAATGCAAATACTAAGGCATCTACAACTCCCCAAATGAGTCAGTTTCTAAAACAGCAGTTAAGATTGCTACAAAGTATGCAGACATAAAAAAAAAAAAAAAGAAAAAAACAAACCCCCACAAAAAATATACATATGGTATGTCTCACTGTCAAAAGAGAATATAATTAGAAAGTATTCCTCCAGTCTTCCCACAATGACCAGTGCCATTTCTTGGCTACCATCATTTTGGGTCACGGCATCTTCCAACAGCTTTTGGGACTCAAGGTAAAAGGGAAAAAGCTAGCTTGTAACAGGCACAGGAGAGACTACCTGAACAGGGTCAGAAGGATAGGACTTTCTCCTGTTGCTGTATTGTTATAGCAGTACCATACTGCCAGAATAAAACTTCATCTTGTGCTATATGTAACAAGTTATGAAAGTTAGTCAAACAAGGTTGTCTTTGCTTTCCTGAATATTTAGGCAGAAGCCAGCTGACCTGGAGGTATTCCAACTTCCCGTTCACACTTACGGCAGCTAAATGTATGCCTGTATTTGGAAAACTGGTACAAGAAAGATAAACCTACATGAGACTAAGGAAATGCTTTCCAGCTCACAGGTACTACAGTGGTTCATACAGCTGCCCAGATGAGCTTTCCAAGATGAGCTTCAGAAAACCAAACAAATTCTTTATAAAAGCATCAGAAATGCATTTGGTTCAGATAAGTCTGAGAGTTTTCTGACTTCCCAGTGTATATTTCTAAGAGTTGTGAGAGAAGAGCAAATCCTGAAAAATATGACCATGACATAGTATCTGAGAGACACTGTTCTTAAGCAGCACCCACTATTTGTTCCAGTAATCCCTCACCTGCAGAAAACTTTTCCATGTCAATCCTTGCTTCTTCATGAGTTGACATCCAGAAATTGCTACCAAATAGACATTTGCTTGCTGGTGTTTTAATGATGCTGAAACAATGTGTATGAATGGTCTCAAGAACCAGGAGGTCAGGGAAAAGAGATCCAGGCACAAGAGAGGACTGGAGCCTAACTCTTCAAAAGGAAGGCTTGTGACACAGGGTCATTGTTCTTAGTAAATAACAAAAGTTAATTTGAAATGGATGTTGCAGCTATATACGTGATATCCACTATGCAACCTTCACCCTAGCTTAGAATCATAGAATCATAGAATATTTAGGGTTGGAAAGGACCTTAAGATCATCTAGTTCCAACCCCCCTGCCATGGGCAGGGACACCTCACATTAAACCATGCCACCTAAGACTTTGTCCAGCCTGGCCTTGAGCACCACCAGGGACAGAGCATTCACAACCTCCCTGGGCAACCCATTCCAGTGCCTCACCACCCTAACGGTAAAGAACATCCTCCTTATATCCAATCTAAACTTCCCCTGTTTAAGTTTTAACCCATTACCCCTTGTCCTGTCACTACAGTCTCTAATGAATAGTCCATCCCCAGCATCCCTATAGGCCCCCTTCAAACATTGGAAGGCTGCTATGAGGTCTCCACACAGCCTTCTCTTCTCCAGGCTGAACAGCCCCAACTTTCTCAAGCCTATTTTCATACAGGAGCTGCTCCAGCTCCCTGATCACCCTCATGGCCCTCCTCTGGACTTGTTCCAACAGTTCCATGTCCTTTTGATGTTGAGGACACCAGAACTGCACACAATACTCCAAGTGAGGTCTCACGAGAGCAGAGTAGAGGGGCAAGATCACCTCCTTTGACCTGCAGGTCACGCTCCTTTTGATGCAGCCCAGGATACGGTTGGCTTTCTGGGCTCCGAGCGCACACTGAAGACAGCTCATGTTCCGTTTCTCATCGACCAACACCCCCAAGTCCTTCTCCACAGGACTGCTCTGAATCTGTTCTCTGCCCAGCCTTGCTTAAATCATCATTGTTAGTTTTCGTTTGCAGATGGATGAAAGATGGCTGGAAAGATATCCTTTCCAGCCCTCTTGAATTTCTTGTTTGCAGCAAACAAGAGACTGGTCACTGTATGATTTCTTCGAAGGAGTGCACAGATCATGAGGTTCTGTCATTCCAGAGTCCCCATTCTGTACTGCCTGCTGTCAAACACATTCATGTACTAGAGGTCAGAGAAGAAACCTCTCCAAGAGCAGAAGCCAGAGCAAAAATTATGCAATGCTAGGGCAAAAAAAGATGTTAAGCCATAGGTCAGGTTCTTATGAGCCAAAAGAGTTGCTGCAGCAGTCTAAGAAGCAGATTTTCCAGATGTATGTTGGGCAGCCAAAACTTGATTTGATCCATTTATTTAGCAAGTAGTCACTTTCAGCAAACTGAAATTATAGCCCACCCAGGTTCGTTAAGCATTTTCAGATGGAGAAAATACTATGGACCTGAAGTTACAAAACCACTGATGAAAAGTCATCACCCCCACTTTTTCTTGGGCAAGCAGATCAAGGCTCCATTCTGCCTCCTCCACAGAAATGCATGTGAACTCTTCCACATGACTGTACTGGGCCTCATCTTCCAAATTCTACCATTGTACTTAAATAATAGCCAGACAAATTAGTAACTTTCTAGTTTGGATGCTTTACATGAGCACCTGAGAACATGATCACCAGACCCTTATATTTTATTACTACTTTAAGTAAAGATAGATGTCTTTAATAGAGGCTGGTAATACGCTGAGATCTGCCTTAACAGGCTCTAAGTAACTAGAAATGTAGAGGAGCACCATTGCATAGTACAGTGGTTTGATTGATAGCCTGAAAGGGTAGACATGTGGTTTAAAATTCTCTGCAGCAGAAACAATAATCCACCAAGTCTTCAACCTCCTGCACAAGGTCTCCAACCACTGCACATAAGAGGCATTCCTCTCCTCCAGTGCTCTTGCAAATCCAGCCCTTCTTTTACTTTACCACC